ACATACACCACTGATCTAATGCACGCTAATCTAATAATAGACCCTGGTTGCTATTTATTGATTTGTTTCTTTGAGATTAATTCCTATTTAGCCTATACTTGTTTCACATTTGTACACAAAAGAAAATAGTTAATACACTTGGGTGCCATCTCGGGCTACCAGACAATATAGGCCTAATAGGTTAAATAGTTTATGGCTAACGAGATAATAGTGCTCAGAGGTCAAGGGTGGTATCTCAGTCATTATGCAATGGTTGGGTGGGTTGTTAAGCCTGCAACTTCAACTAAAGCAAAATCATATTTCATCGACAATAAATTATACATTATTGCAAAATATTATCAGAGATGACATAAAGGGATTCGTTTACAAGCAATTACATATAGGCCTATATATATCTTCATATAATAATATTATGTAATAATAATATTTAGGGATATCTTTTGGAACATGATAGCGTATTGTATGACGTCAAGTTCCGACTTCATAAAGATCAAAACGTCCATCCGGGAAAAAACACACGAACATTCCAAACAGATCGTTGAGAAGCATGGACGTAAATATAAGATGTTGGGTATTGATAACATTCGCTGCGTGTAAGTGAGTATGTCCAGCCTTTTAATTAGCATCCGAGATTCATTGAAGTGCTAGGCGACTCGGATTGGGGATTTGCACTGCGATACGCAATCGGCACAACTCCTATTACCTGGTAATAATATAAGGCTCGTGTCGATCATCACGGCATCTTTATTGGCAGCCCGTCCCGGTGGTGAATTATGGGGTTGGAATGTATCGAAGTATGTTATGGATTTCTACGTCAACCCAAAAATACCCAGCATTCTGCGATCAACTATCAAATTAGGACAAGCCATCTTTATTTGCAGTCGGTTAGTCTTAAACCTGGGAGTTACTGGTAAAATTATCCAATATTGGCCTATGCCTAATCCGTTCAACAGTTATTTTCGTGACGGTTTTTATTTTCTGTGAGGTGACCTAAACCGATACTTTTTTGGGATTAGGGGGTAAGTTATTTGGTTACTTTTTCCAACTTAATCATTTGTAATCTTTCTTATCATAATTGTCATTCTACAGTTTTTTCTGCGAAGTTACGTGAAGTCATGGCAGAAGGCAGAATGGTGAGAAAACAACTGTACTCAAAAACACAATATACTCTTGCGATTTTAGCGGACGGCAGTGTAACTAATTCAGATGATATAGACATTAAATACAGTAAGTGTTGTCATTTAATCATTGAATTTTGATACTAATTTGCATATGCTAATTACTTACGATATCGTAGGGCCGGCTGCATTATTTTTTCCATACAGTTAAGGTAGAAATTATAGAGGACGCTATTTAAGGTCATTTAGATGAACTGATAAACATGAATATACATGCTTGACATTCTTATGAAAGGCGCATGGCGTAGTTAGGGAACGGGGGAGTTAGTTTAGAAACTACGGTAACTCCTCAATGGTTAGAGTAGGCCAAAATCTCTTGGTAGTCGGTAGAGACAGTAGTCTACACAGAGTGAAAACTACAGTAATGGACTATTATGGCAATTATAATATCCCTATGCCTAGACACTGTTTACGTACAGCATGGTCTTTGAAAGTATAAGCAGCGTTGAATCTCTGGTCGGTTATTTGAGTAGTGTAAGGTATAGAATACATATTAACTGCTATAAGTACTACTGATTCTGAACGATATAAACGTTTAGAAACGCTTGGACACACAGGTATGATTTCCCACAAATATGTCGTTCATATTCAATATGAATAGGCATAGATGTATAGCAAGCAGATTATTATAAACATTTTACCAAATCCGAGGATATATTCTATACACATGATATGGTACTGTTTTTATACAAATATTGAATAGCTTCATACTGTATTTAAAACGATCAAAATCAGATGGAAGTAAAAATAACTCTCACTGACTTACAGACGAGTCTACAAAAATCCTTGAATGTCACCAGCGGCCTGGGCACATGAGTTCCATTCGTATGAAATGCGAACAATAATGGTGCCAAAAGAAAAGGTATTTTTTTGGAAACAGTGACAGACGATATAGACCTATCTAAAGATAAAGCTATCTTCCGGGCACACCCCAATCGTCGGCTGACGCGATTAGAGAACGCGACGTGACGAGGAGCGCGTAGCGGACGATTATGTACTGACATCAACAATCAGCTCTGACAGCATCGCGTCGTCAACTACTCACAGAGAGATGAGAAGGATTAGCCGGCCGACGTTCGTACGGCAGGGTGTTTGCCGTCAGTCTTCTTAATTGCATAATATCAAAATATTATATAAGGTAAGGTGTATTCTAGATATGAAAACGACACTTTAACAACAGTGTACTTGTACGTAACAGCGGGCCGCGGCAGTCAAAAGACAAACAAATCCAAGAAAAAAACAAAAAAAAAACTATAAATCGTAAACTATTTAAGCGTATGTTTTAAACCTCCCTGCCTTCACCCTTCTTCCCATGTAGGCCTACTCAAAACCCATCCCTAATTATAAACTCCATCCCCGACTCACTGTATTTGATAATTTATAAGAAAAAAAAACACCATAATAAGCCAAAAGAAGAAGATAATATTTACAGCAACATTAAACAAATTCGAAGACTGTATTCGTGACGTAGGCCTATATAGTTTTTTTGGTCATCAAATGGAAACACTTGTTAAGTACGTTATCGCGTACGGTAAGGGCTATTTATCTATTGTCAAGTAGGCCTATTTATATGATATCCGGAACCTCACATTATTTATGGTTCGTACACATTAGGAATTAGATTTGAAATGATCGGGCGTTGAAATTGAGATATAAACGGTATATTTCGCAATATACACTCGCGACAGTGCTTAATACGCATAATATCTTATCAAATCACAAATGTAACTAAACAGATAAATATGCTTCATTAAACGGCTCTGTTCTAATTTAATGAAATAGAATCTACGTCATTCAGAATCATATTTTAGCGCTTTGTATTTTAGAAAATAAATATTTCCGGTATTATTAGCCTTAGTTACGGTATCTATGCAGTAAAATATAAAAGGTCTCTCTCCAATTATAGACGACTTTTGTGACCAGGATTCCTATGGTCTATAGCAGCTTTGGTCTCTAATTAGAATAATAAAGATAAAAGACATTTGTTAATATGGGCCCCACAGAAAAGTGGTCTTTAATTGGAGGGAGACCTGTATACAATATGGTTCACGTGGAACTTACTGTCCCCAACCGAGGTCTATAGCGCCACTTAAAACAATCTTTAATACTCAAATACAAAACCTATAGGCCTAGCCTATCTTTCTCTCGACTTCTGGGGAGGGATCGACGTTTCGACTCCTTCATGGTGTCATCCTCAAGATGATGATTATTGTGATTATTATGATTATGATTATTATTATGATTATTATTATTATTATGATTATTATTATTAATTATTAATAATAATAATAATAATAATAATAATTATTATTATTTTTATTATTATTATTATTATTATTATTATTATTATTATGAGTATTATTATTATTATGATTATGATTATGATTATTATTATGATTATTATTATGATTATTATTATTATTATTATCATTATTATTTATTTTTATTATTTATTGTTATAATTATTGTTATTATTATTATTATTATTAATATTATTATGATGAAGATATTATTGTAATCTTAAGTTTTGTAATTAAGTTAGTTACCGGAATCAGTTTACAGGCTTGCCTCCTTGATTTCGGTATTTGTTATTTAAAAAACGAGTGAAATAAATAAATAAATGAAGTATGCAACCTAAACATAGGCCTACT